CCTATGATGTCATCATGTGTCACCTGACAGGTTTGGCTGCATAGGAGTTGTAAATGGATCCCTGCCTCTTACCTCTCTCTCTTGCTCTTGTGCTCTGTTGTTCTGTCCTGCTTTCTCCCCTTTTTCTGTTGGAGTTCCTCTTTATCATTTAAATTATCTCTAGATGTTGCTTATAAAATGGAATCTCTCAGACACACCATGGGAGGTTGGGAGTAGATCACAGTTTCATATAATTTAGAGAAACTTGGGACCAGGTACAGCCGAGCCTCAGCACTCCCAATTAGGAATTCTGTGCCTCCAAAAATGTGAGCTAAATAAACCTCACATCTTTATACAAAATAGCAAGTTTTGGACATGTTGTAGCATCATGAAATAAACTAAGACGTGATGGGAGAACCAGGCAACTTATAAGGTTTTCAGTCATGAAGAATCCCTCAGTTCTCAGATTCTTCAGCTGGTGCAGCAGATCCAAGAATATTCTTGTAGCTTCATTCATAGCCTGTGGTCTGGTCACCATAACCTGAATCCCAAAACTAGGGAGTGCCTCAGAGTTTAGGGCAAGGTAGTTCCCAAAGCCGAGAGCCTTGTGCTGAACGTGGTAAAGACAACAATCTGCGCCTGTACACCAAGCCCTTTCTAATGCCCACGGGGGCACTAACACCATTGTGTGCAGCAGCGAGCATAGCAGAGCCCGAAGGACTGAGGAACCTGAGAGCATCATGGACATCACTTCCAACCAGATGCCAGATGGACATCAGTTCAAGTCTCCCAACTACCTCAACATGGAGGCCATCAATTACATAGAGGCATCAGTTACGTGAAGGCAGATGGTGACTTCAGGATCAAGTCTGTGTCCTAGGAGTGAAGCCAGCCAGCTAGCCCAGAGCCCACAAAAGAGGCAGCTGCCTCTACTCCCTATGATTCTTGCCGAAGAAACGCTGCAATTTTGTACCTGCTCTATGGGATTCTCTAGGATGTATCATTATAATGCAAGTTAAACTCACAGCCCCATATCACCCCAGTGTGAGGATTAGGGCATTGGTTGAAAAGTGGAAAGATTCTGAGTTTTGGAATAAGGATCTCTTATTGAACTGTGTCTGGAGTTTTTCCTTTGCTTTTCATGTCCCCAATATTTGTTTAACAGGCCCTAGGATTTTGATAATTGTTAAAACAAATGAACAGAATATCAGTCTGACTTGATTTTGTTTTTGTTTTTATCGACAGAGGTGGACACTGCCTAGGAGGGTTGTGCTGAGGTGGCAATAACTGGGCACAGCACATGCTCAGTGTACCCCATAGGAAGCGCTGGCTGAAGGTACAGTCATTCCTGCCAGCTACATTATGCCCCTTGTGATGTTAGGTCATGACTTCTCTCTCGATTCCTTTCTAAAATGAATATATTTTCTCTAACATTTGGAGTTTGGCTGGTGAAGATGAAGGAGACCACCAGCTTCTTAAAGAGACTAGAACTGTATGGTCTCCATTACAGAGCACTCCTAGGTTGGTCTCCTAAGTTAAATATGAGACTTATCAACAGAATTATCCTTGCTCCTGACCATTTGTGGGGTTGACAGCTATTTTTATCTCAAGTGAGATATGCTGAAAACTGACGGACCGTTTCTGAATGATACTGTGATCACTGTCCAGGTGGGAACTCCAGCGCCCTGAAAATCCCTTAGTTAGAGCCGCCATCACTCCTCTAGATATACTTAAGAGCTTTGAGTGCAGGACCCCTCCTCATCATTTCAAAATGGCCACTCTCTTCAGGCTGGAAGCAGACCCGAGAGCTGCATCTTGGAATGTGAGGCTTATGTGTGAGAGAGACAGGAGAGCATGAGAGGAAGCCTCATTTCTTGATATTCCTTTTCCACAGAGAATTAAAGTGTGGTTCAGCCCAAGACTGGGAGGTTTCTCTCTCTCTCTCTCTCTCTCTCTCTCTCTCTCTCTCTCTCTCACACACACACACACATATGCACAGAGAGAAACAGAGAAACAGTGTTGTGTGTATTATGATGTATAATACACTTACAAAAATAGCCTTTTCCACAAAGTATACTTTTTTACAAAAGAAAATGTTGATGCATTAAGAAAATAAGAAAAATCTACCTTAAAAACTTGCAATTTGTTATTTTGGGCTTGGTCTTTGTTTATTTGTTTATTGTTGTTTGTTTTTTCCAGACAGGGTTTCTCTGTGTAGCCTTGCCTGTCCTGGACTCATTTTGTAGACCAGGCTGGCCTTGAACTCACAGATATCTGCCTGCCTCTGCCTTCTGGAGTTCAGGGATTATAGTCATGCACCACCATGCCTGGCTTGACCTTTTTTCTTCATAATTTATTTATTTTTATTTTTGTAGATTGGTGTTCTGCCTGTTTATATGTGTGTATATGAGGCTTTCATATCACCTGGGACTGTAGCTACAGATAGTTGTGAGCTGCCATGTGGGTCCTGGAAATTGAACCAAGGTCCCTTGGAAAAACAGCCAGTGTTAGTACATAGGTTGCCTAGTAACCTATGATGTCATTATGTGCCACGCACCAGGGGTGTGGAAGCTGAGGTTCAGCTGCTCATGCACAGGCTATAAAAGGACCAACCTACCAATTTGCCTCTCTCTTACTCTCCTCTCTTGCTCTCTCCACCTCAGTTTCTTTCCTGAGGAGCATGTCTCTCTCTTTCCTTTTCCTCTCTATCTCTCCACCTCCATCCAACAAATCTATTTCATAGAGTATCTGTTGTGTGTGTGGCATCATTCTTAAACAAATACTAACAGCCAGTACTCCTAACTGCTGAGCCATCTCTCCAGCCAGTTTGTTAGTTTGAAAATCCAGACCCAAGGATATCCACTTTTACCACAACGCAAATATCTCTCTGTATTTTTCAGTTTATGTCTTTAAATTTCAAAGTCACATTGTAGAAACCAGGTTATGGGGTTGGAGAGACGGTTCAGCGGTTAAGAGAGCATAATATAAAGGATCCGGTTCTGTTCCCAGCACTCACATCAGACAGCACACAAATGCTCCATAACAGCATCTTCAAGAAACCGGACACCTCTCCAGATCTATGTGGGCACTGACTCATGGCGCACGCGTACACACACACACACACGCACACACACACACACACACACACATACTCATTAAAAATTAAAAGCAAAATACTTTTAAAAAAGAAATCAAGTCAAAGTAACTTTTATTCATCTGCTTACATTTTCTCTAAAAAGAAAGGTGGTGAGGGGGCGGCAAGCCAGTGGAAGCTGCCAGGTGGACACCTAGCACAACACAAAATTCTTTATTTGCATCCTTTAAATCACATTAGTCACGCAAATGTACAGCCCGGGCAAGGTGTTGTATAATTGAAACTTCGGGTCTGTAAATAATTTCTTATCAATCATACAAGTTAGCAATGTGCCATTTAGGCATTAGTATGTTGTAGAGAAAGTTGAGTCATTAGCACGCCAACTGTATGTTGCATTCACTAAGTATAGACACGAAACCTTCTTCTCCAGAAAACTGAGAGACATTTAAGTTTTAGAAACGTGAGATATTACAAGTTTCATATAAATAGTTGAATGTAGAATGACTTATGTTTAGTTTGTATTCATGTGGTGTTAATTTTAAATAATGACTGTGTGTGGGTGTGTATGTGTGTGTGTGTGTGCGCTCTGTGACACGCACGTGGATGAAGTGGCAGTTCACGGCCTGCTTTTCTTTCCCTTGTCTATTTCTCTGTGCTCTTTACCACTTCTGTCACCTCTTTTTGTCCCTGGAGTAGAGTCGTTACCTTGCCATGTGACTCCTCTCATTAACAGAGTCACACAAAGCAAACTTCGAAGCGTCTAGTCTTGTCAGGAAGTTTTAAAGACTTTTCACTGATACCATATTCATTAATCTTTACAATACTATGAGGTAGATAGGAGAGAAACGATTTTTACCCTCATTCTGCAAAAACACCAACAAAATGTAAAGAAAAAAGGACTAGATGAGCTACACAGTGTGTAAAGCAGGAGGCGTGTTTTGTTGCCCCATTTTCCATCAACAAAAGTAAGCTCATTACATGTGTCACAAGCTATGACTCTTTAAAGTCCATTGGTCCACTTTACAAGTAGGTTCAGTTTGGCCAATTGCATTTATTCTCCTGAGTACAAAGCAGTGGTGAGGGTGCTCTCACTTGACGTTTGGTTCTCTTCATGTGGAAATTTTTCTGAGTCCAGAAGGAAAGTCTGCAATTGTTACTGTCCTTGACGCCAGGGACTCTGATGTCAATCCACAGGTGAACACACAGAGCCTCGGGCAGAGCAGTCCTCCCTCCAGACTGATCCTAAGGGTGGTTTGCAGATTCTACCCTCATTTGTTCTTTTGTGACACCACCAAACAGTAGGTGCCAATGTCATAGGCACTTCATGAGAGAAAGTAGGTAAAAAAGACTGTCTTGCTTTTGGGGCATTTGAAGTCACTCCTGAAATCACCCACTCCTTGTTTCTCAGACATGACTTAAATTTGGCTTTCTTTGGTTGCACCGTGTCCAGGTAGATCTCATTTCTTTATGGCTTCTGCTTCTTGACACTGCCATGTTATATTCCCATTATTCCTTCATTTTCAAATGAAATAAGGCAGAGAGTATTCCGGGTCTGGGTTTCCATCTAAATAGAATGTGCTCTCTATGAATGCCATTTATTTAATGCTCCACTGGCATTTACATCAGAATAAGTGACTTTCTTAGGTCAATGTGCTTTTTTTTTTTTTTTACAAGGCACTTAAATTAGTTTCAGTGGCTTTATCACTTGATGGGAAGCAGAAGTGTGCCCAGATATATGGCAGTGCTGACAAAATCCTCAGCAGTCACTGACCCTTGTTGCAAGATGTGAAAACAGGAAGGACATGCCTCTGAGCAGAAAATGTAACCGAAATAAAAGGAGACATGTGGCTTTCCAGAGTCACTAAATATGGAAGACAGAGTAAACACGATTATAAAATGTAAGAAGCATGCTGCAAGAGGCCACAAATTATGTGTTTTTCCGAAGCCACTCAACTATCCTGGCAATTCTCTTCTTGTTTTTCAGATTCTCTGTCTTTATTGCCTGTAATTTGGCGTGAGCCGCAATCCTCTGGTGCTCCTCCAACACATTACTAAGGAACTGCTGCAACTAGAAGGACAGAGACGATTGATCAGCACCACCACGCTGCTCAATGGCACAAAATAAAACAAAGTTCACGGAAAACCAGCAAAATGATTTTGCAAAGAGGCAATGATGGTTGGAAGGAGTACCAATGCATAGACCTCCATCATGTGTCCCTGGGGAGGCCATGACTGAGACAGTATGATTAAGACCATACCTCCCCAGAAGGCTGAGTTGTTGACTAGAAGGAATGACCATGAAGGAAGAAAAACTTGGTCTTATTAATTCCTCTATTTCCAAAGCATATCATAGCTCTCAGTAAATAGTTACTGAAAACATATTACATATTGCAAGATTGGTGAATGGAGACGTTGTGAGACCCTTTTGTATGTCACAGGAACTCAGCATCTTCCAGAGGTCAATATCAATGTATTTTTTAAATATAAGGGTAGAAGTTTATTATAAAAAGGGGGAAGGGAGAGAGAGGAGTAGCACCACAAAAAGGAGAGAAAGTCAGAGAGAAAGAGCCAGAGAGCATCGATGCATCTAGTTTCTGTCTTTACGATGTTATCCTTTGTTTCTGAATGTTTTAGTCAAGTTGGCATTGCTTGTAGACGTCATGATCTTTTACTCATCAGAACTAAAAAATAATTCAGGCAAGTTTCAGACTACAAAATTAATATGCAAACATTGATACTGCTGGTCTGGAAAAATGGCTCGGTTGCAAAGTGAACCATGGAAGCATGAGGATTTGGATTAGATTTCCTCATTAAAAGGTGGGGCATGGTGGCATCCTGTTGATATGACTCAAGGGGCCAGGCTCCATCCCAAGCAGGCTGCCAAACTTGGCAGCGTTGTTCGCGTGGCCCTGGGCTTACTGTCATCAAGGATACATGTGCAAGGGGTTATGGAATCTTCCTCCATGGTTAAGGAGAACCAGTGAGTTCAGGCAATGTGTGGTGGGCAGTCCCTCCAAGAAGGCTCTCAGAAGGCAAGAGACACTGAGGGCGCCATTGTGTGATGCTGTGGAAGTGAAGCTTGGACAGCATTGGAGATCCCAAGAGAGATTAGAGGGGCCAGAGCCAAGCAGACCTTCAGACATGGAGCAGCACCAGCCCAAGAGAGAGAAGTGTGTTTCCGGCAGCAAAGCTAGAAGGACAGAGCCATCTAAATTGTCTGATAGTGGACATGGAGCTACAGGATTTGGAGTTTGCCCTACTAGGTTACTGTTTTTCTTTGGTCTATATTCCCTCACTATGTCCCAACTCCTCCCCTTTGTAATGGTACTGTATATCCTGTGCCATTGTATGTTGGAATCACATAATTTGCTTTTTGATTTTACGGGACATAACAACTAAGAGAATGCCTTGAATCTCAGAAGAAACTTTGAATGTTTGTTGTGTTTTAAAATAGTGTTGAGACTGAAAGACAATGGGGACTTCTGAAGTTGGACTAAATGCATTTTATGTTATGACACGGCTATAGGCCCATGGAAGCCAGGGAGCAGAAATGAGAATGGCTCTCTTAGGCTCATATGCTTTGAATAGTTGGTCGCCAGCTGATGGAACTGCTTGGAAATAATTAGGAGGTGTGGCCTTGTTAAAGTAGGTGTGTCCCTGGGGGTGGGCTTCAAGATTTCAAAAGCCCATGACATTTCCAGTTAGCTCTCACTCTACCTTGTGCTTGTGGATTGAGATGGAAGCTCTCAGCTACCATTCCAGTGCCCTGCCTATCTGCCCACTGCCATGATAACCATGAACTCTAACTCTCTAAAATGGTAAGCAAGCCCCCAGCAAACTCTTCTGTAAGGAGCCTTGGTCATGATATCTTATCAGAGCAACAGAAAAGTAACTATAGACAGGAGTAATGAAGGGAGTGGTCCCAGAGAAACAGAATTGTGAGGATGAGGTTGTTAAGTATCTGGAACAGACTTTAGAATTCACCAACACAGTTTTTGAAGACTCCTGTGGTAATATGAAGAACATGGAACTTCATTGTTCAAGATATTTGAAGGGCTTGCTGTAGGGAGAAAGGAATTTAGTGACTGTACATGTAAACTTTGACAATTTGTGGAAAATAAGAAAAATAATACTACTGGTTGGTTGCTTCTAGAATCTCTGGATAAATTGACAAAGGAAAAGAATGAGTTTAAGGATAAAGATTAGTCAACTTCTTGTATCTCAGGATACAGTGACAGAGGAAAAGAATGGATTCTGTGGTCAAATTAACCAATTCATAGCATCTCTGGATATAATGTCAAGAAAAGAATGAACTCAGGGATACAGCTGACTGACTCCTGATGCACAGAAACAATCTAGAAGTTTCTAAGTGTGCCCTGGAGAGAACATTCTCTCCAACTCAAGCTGTAAAAAAATCAAACCAAATATTGGCTGAATGACAAAGAAATTCAAGTCCCAACCTTTGAGGGTATCAGCAGTTAAAGTCAGGACACTGACTGGGAAGGAATAGGATCCTGTCATGCAGGATGGAGATGTGTAAGGGGCTCCTACTTAGGCTGAGGACACTGAATCTCATGCTCTGAAGGGTTTATGTCACCTGAGGAATTAATCTCTCCACTCTTAGCAGAGGATGCATCTCCACTCCCTAACTCCTGTAATATTGACCTCTCTGCCTTTGCCCGAGGAAACTAATCCTTCATTGTCTGCCCAACCAGGAGTAACCTTCGTGGTACTGCTGAGTGTTGGAGACTAAACAGCTGCCAGATCCTTGGCCTTTCCATCAGGAGATAGCCAGAGTTGGACTACTTGCACCACAGCCTGTAAGCTGCTCTGATAAATTCCCTTTGTATATGGTGTGTATGCATGTATGTGTAAAATTCTATTAGTTCTGATCCTTTAGAGCAGTGGTCCTCAATCTTCCTAATTCTGTGATCCTTTAATACAGTTCCTCATGCTGTGGTAACTCCAACCCTAAAAGTATTTTTGTTGCTACTTTACAACTGGAATTTTGCTACTGTTGTGAATCATAATACAAATATCTATGTTTTCTGATGGTCTTACCCCTGTGAAGGGGTAAGGGAGTTGAAGGGTCATTCAACTCCCAAAGGGGTTGCAACACACAAGTTGAGAACCATGGCTCTAGAAAAACCCTGCTGATACAATAGGCATGAACAAAGCCTAGAGAGATGATTTAGATAAGCATATTATTTTTAATTTTAGCCAGTCATGTGACAATAGAAGTGCTTCCCAAATCTCATCATATTTCACAATACTTTTGGTACTTACCTCCATAACCTGTAGGTCTGTGCTTACAGTCCTCCCTAAGACCCCCACTAGACCATCCAGCGATTCTGGTCCATACCTGCAAAGCAAGGAGGCTCTGATCAGAGGGCAACAGTAACCTAGCAAAGCAACTGTGTGTTTCAACAGCAGATAAATAGTACATGCGTATAAATAGCACATATGTAGCCACGTTGATATCATCCTCACAAATCTAGCAAAACCCTGTATGAACTTGCTCAGTTACCTCTAAGTAGAAAAATCTGTTAATGTAAAGAGCTATTAACACTAAGAAATATATATGTATATATAAATACTGTTTTGTGCAACAACATTTACAATTATATGCATCTATTCTATGGGCAGTTAGAATTTATACACAATGTCTCAAAACAAGAAACTTTAGAAGGGCATAAATAAATAAGTAAATGCTGTCCCTCAAAAAATAATGTAAATATGGAATAAATTTCAAAACCACTGACTCAAGTGCTCTGTGGTGTATTTAAAGTTGTGTTTGTGTGTTTTGTGTAGTATGCATTTTTATATTCTGACAGTCTCAAGATGTCTCTGTACCATGATTGCTTTAGTTCCATTTAGGAAACAAAAACTGCAGAGTTACAAATTAAAAACATACATACCGGTGCAAAGTATTGCTGTAGCAGGGGGAGAAAGGGATTTTTGGATGCATTAAAAAGAGAAAGAAAAATTGAAATAGGATTATTATAGTAGACTGAGTAAGAAATGGTCAAGTTGCTTTGGTACATACTTCAAAACTGTAACTGTGAATTTTCAAATTGTGAGAGTTAGTTATTCTTAGAAATCAAAGAGAGAGAAAACTAGCACCATGATCTCTTTAAGACCCAGATTTGGTGGAAGTTGAAGATACCAGTGTGAACACACCACTGTGCACAATTCAGATGAGCAAAGCCGACACTGTGAGCCAGGAGACACAGCTCTTGGCTCTCTGTTTTAATTAGCCAAGGAGAGAAAAGCATGTGAGATAATACAAGAAACTTGAGTTTTTCAAGCAAAACCAACACACAAGAACAAGTTCCAAACTTTAAAGCAGAGGAAATCTGTCTCCTGACTTAAAGACGGGACTTCTCTATCAGACATGAAGAAAGTGACATCACGGGCCAAGAGTGAGTTTTGTAGTTAACTTGAGCAATTGGTCTGTGGTAAAATAAAACTAACATGGAAGCATCATCACCCGAGGATTCGGTGAGTTACCAGGTGTGGGAGCAGCTGCTGGAGTCAGCTCATCTCCCTCCTTGTTCACCAACTTCAGGAAACAGATGTTTTGTTGTTGTTGTTCTTGCTTGAGAGAATACTCTCTTGCAATATTGCTGATCAAAACATATACACTACAAATTGTCTATGCTTACCAGTTTCCAATATATTCTAATAGTTATGAATACAGGGGCAAATTAATATCAATATAGTTATCCTATTTGTTTGTTTGCTTATTTGCTAATTTTGAGACAGGGTCTCACTATGTAGACCAGACTGGCTTCAGATGCACAGAAATCTGCCTGTGCCTCCCAGGTACTGGAATTAAAGGTGTGTACTACCATACCCAGATAGTTTTCCCTTAAAAAAATATCTAGGAACACTGAGTCAGCATAGGCATGGTGATTTAGTACTTGAGACTGGCAATTCTTTCTACCTCTCATCTGCACATATTGTGTCTTGAATTCTAAATTCAAATAAAACTAGGGTTTTTCTTCAGGCTATGAATAATGATAAAAGCACAAATATTACCTCTGTCACACATCATTAAAACTTATAAAAATCCTATTGCTTCATTCCTGCTCACATTCTTTCATAGGACTTCTCATAGCTCCATGTGTCTATCAAGCTCCTGAACTCATGATGGCTACTGGGGGCTCCTTATTGGAGTCCGTATTCCGAAGATCATCTCTGGTCCAGTCACGAACTAAGTTCCCTGCAGTGACACGTGCAATATCCTGTACGTGAGGAGGGGCGCAGAACTAAACCAAAAGCTGTTTCACAGAGTCAAATACTTCAAAATGTGTTTCTAAAGAGGCTTCCTGAGAGGAATTCTAGGTCTGCTTGAGGGGAGGAGAGCACAGCACTGCTTGTGATCTCAATTCTAGCACACGACTTCATATGGAGATGGCGTCTGTGAGCTGCCTGAATGTCTTCATTATATGTGTTCCTAGGTGCTTGATACAATAAAAGCATGTATCCAGGACCCTTCCAGGCCCTGACCCAAAAGTAATGTATGTTTGTTTGTACATGTGTTATGATAGTCTTTTGCTGAAAACAGAAAATATAGGCTGAAAGTAGCATTATAAAATGAATATCCACCATAAATGTTGAAAACAACACACAGGTATTGCTTGATAAATAGTGATATTTGTAATACTATTTGTTATCTGAGTTAGTCGGAGTCAGTGGCATAACCCCTTGCAAACACTCTGATAAAGATTTCTGTAAAGTATCCCTCAGCCTTTCTCCATATGATGCTTTCTCTGCTACTCAACAAATAGAGAGTAAAGCCCTTTGTTAGGGCTAGATACATAACACACTCAAACAGACAGACATCCTGGGACAGACACAGAACAGGACAGATTGACAAGACAGACTCAGGCAGGCACAGATTAAATCTTATTCAACAGACAGAGGAGGATAAAGACAGAAGAGGGAAGTACAGAAATCAAAGCTCACGCTTGCTTAAATGGCACCAAGATGAAGAGCTCTGATTTTGTTTCTTAATATAACACTGATGTATTGGTGATTCTGAGTGTATCCTCACTGCTTTCAAACCAGTTGCACTTTTAGATTACTAGGAAAAAACCTTAGACATCGAATACAATAGCTGCCATTTCACAGAGGATGAAACCAAACCCTAAATGTCAATTAGCAGACAGATGATAAACCAATTTTGTTTCACTTGCAGTGAGATAACAGAGCTGGAAAACATTGTTTCTCATATCTTTCTTTCTACTGGAACAACTGGTCTACTAGCAAATATATATTTTACTGGCATTAGTATATGTTTATAAAAACAAGGTAATGAATTGTAAAAAAAAAGTTTGAAGTCATGTCTTTTGAATTTAGTTTGTCATGAAGATTTGTAACATAATCATGCTCAATGCCAACTATAACTTCAATAAACCTCAGATATTTTTATATATAAAGAGCTAAGTAAACATTCCTATGCCATTTAAGTGTATATGTTTTCATCAATAATTTGAGCCTCGACTTTCAACAATTCATATATTGTACTGTTTATTCAGACAAAACCATTAGGAAAATTGAACAAGACTTCTAATATATAGTAAGCCCTAAAAATAAATGTATTCAATTTGTAAAGCAAATTTAGTTTAGTAGTAGAATATGCAAAAGGAGTGAACTAATTCAGTTTACCATAAATATACCATTGTCTATGAATCTGGTGTTCTCTGGAATAAGATATAAAAATAATGAAGCCATGGTTAAAAGTTCATGCCCTTATAACTCTACAAACTTCATGGACATAATAAGACCCATTTAGAAGTTGTTTTTTCTTTTTAGAGATTACTTATATGGTTGTATTTAATGTACTTTTATGGATAAATTAAATCAATTGTGACACAATCAAGTCTTCAGAGGGTACAATTTAAGTCTTAGAAGGAAGTTGCCAACGTTTTCCTGATCTCTAAATGAGAAACAAGCTCTTATGGTTTCTTTTCCAGTCTAGCAACTTCCATTGGCTAAAAAAAGTGTCAGTGTGAGAGATACATCACAGCAGGACAAGAACACTCTTCTTGGCCCAGGTGACATCATCTATTTATTTCTGGGATTAGTGAGTTGTTCAATGCCAGTGTGAGGTTTTAATTTGCCCCTATGCTTTGTATGAGTTGACGAATTAATCAAGGGTGAGTATTGCCCTCTGACTTCTGTATCATGATGGAGATGGCCTCTAGCTGGGTTGTCCAATATGATAGCCTCTAGTCACACTAGACACTTCAAACAGGGATAATAGAACTGCCAAACTGAATTTTAATTTTTTAAAAATTTTCATTAAGTGAATTTGTATATCTGCATGTAAGCTAGTGGTGATCAGATTGATCAAGGTAGCCTTATGTGGTTTGTTTTTGCTTGTTTATTTGTTTGTCAAAGTTTTACATTGTAGCTCATACTGGCTTAGAATTCATGAGGTAGTTCAGGTTTGCTGTGAAGTCATGGCTATCCTCCTGCTTCAGCCTCCCAAGTGCTGGGAACACAGGACTGAGATACCATACTCAATTCAGCTTTATATAATGTTAAAGACAGTATCAACTGGGCCCATGTTAAACTTTGCTCGAGTCATTTGGGAAACCAGTAAAAGATAGAGACTTTCTATCCTATCACAGTTTTCAAGGGGCAGGTGTGCTTGGGAGTTTACATGCTTATTAGCTACTCTGAGCTGAAGTCCTGCCAAATTTGTGAGGCACTTCCTCAAGTTCATTTGTCTTTGTGGATCGTACTAGGGTTAGAGGAAAAGCCTCACTATGAGCCACATATCGTTTCTAACATCTCTAAAGTGGTTTAAGTGCACAGTGACCAGGCGTTGCTTAACACTAAGCCTAGGAGATAACTGTGACCCTTTGTCTTCCTCAGCACCCAGTTGTGTGTCAGAGGGATGCATACCACGACAGGCATTGCAATGACAAGGCGCATCCTAAGGCAAATCATGACTGGTTCTTGGTGGCTTTGTTTGTGTTTATTATTTATTTGATTATTTATTGATTTGGGTGCTGTTGGTGAGTGAACCCAGAAACTCATGTGCGCTAAGTAAGTGTTCTACCACTGAGCTACACCCCAGGCATGCATATATATCCATACAACTATCTATCTGTCTATCTATCTATCTATCTATCTATCTATCTATCTATCTATCTATCTATGGCAAAGGTTCATAGCTACCTCTCAGGCTTAGTGTTAAGCAATGTCTGGCCACCTGGGCACTATCACAGCTTGTATGTGTGTGTGTATCTGTGTGTATACATATATACCCTATATGTGTATATATGTGTATATGCGTGTATGTATATGTGGTACCTGTATATATTTATATGTGTGTGTCATATTAGGAATTCATTAGAAATATATAATATAATTTGGTATAATATAATATTCCAAAATAAAATCAGTTCACATAATGTTACTTGAATGTACATTTTCAGGGCTGAAGGTTTGTAATTGAACAACCAATTGGTGCACTCTTCCGTGGGAGAACCACCTCTCCTGCTCCCAGCTTTCCTCAGGTGCCTGTAGTTTTTTGTGTAGGGTTGAAGCCTTTTCTTTGTCCAGTTTGGCATGTCCTTTAGCACCATTTTTCATGGCCACTAGATGCATTAGCAGGAAGTTATGGAAGAAAAGCTAAGGACTGGTTAAGTGACTTTAAGCCAGCTGAGTAAGACTGTCAATGGGTTCACAGACAAGGCAGAGTCAGATTAATGAGATCGAGGGGGACCTGATGACAGCAAGCTTTTCTTACAAGCTCATGGGACAGAGAACAGGGAATAACAGACAGTCTCATGAGGCTTGATCTCTGAAACCACATACAAAAAGGAGATATATGTATGTAATCTGATCTTAAGTTCAATTTCTACATTCCCAGTAGGGGACTGCTGAGTAAGAAGGGGAGTATCTTTAAATGGTTAAAAATAGAAAATACAACTCATTTCCCAATTCTGAGGGATCTCAGAAAATGCAAATGGAAAATTCATGTGGTCCTCTAACACAATAAACCAAGAGTTAGATAACCTTAAACAAAAGATAAGAACAATATTTTCATGATGTGAGTTTAATATGTATGTTCCCATGTGTGTTAAAAATAGTGCAGAAAAATGAGTTTTTATCTATATAGTTTTAAATTTTCTAATGCAAAAAAAAAACCCAAAAAAAAAAAAAAAACCCTCATCCCTTTTCATGTCCTAAAGGTGTTCAATAAGTATTTATAAGACTGTGAGATAGTCACACACATCAGTGGCCTTTGGTATTAACCATCTGGGCATGGTAGGCACTTGGCTGTAACCTTAGTACTTTGGAAGTTACAGGTGAGGTTGAAGAACTGAAGGTTTTCCTCAGCTATGCCGTAAATTCAAGGGCTTGGGTTACAACAAGACCCTGTTTCAAAAACAAAAAGGGGTTGAGGGTTTAGCTCAGGTAGAGCACTTAATCAGCAAGCACAAGGCCTGACTCTGAAAGGCTCTGAAAATGAAAATTGTAGGGATCACAAGTGTTTCTCTGAAGGAAGAATCTTCTTTGCAAAAGGTGTCTTTTAACTTTCAGATGCTTCGGCCTTATCCATGTCTTCTCTGCTAAACCTATAGTGTCTAAGTACATGCAGGGATTATTTAATTCTTATCTTTTAAAATTATGTGGCTATGTAATGTTCTAGAAGCAGCGGTCGTCAAGGACACGCTCTCTGATTCTTACATGCTAATGTATATTTTGCTGAACAGAAGACCTAGGAATCAAGCAGATCTAACCCTAAAGGGTGTATATATATATATATTTATACACTCAGTAATACAGAATCCACATAAAGAAAAGAAATCTGACCAGGCTAATGTAACATTGTTTCTTAAAGCCATGGTGATGGGCTTTATGAAATACATGAATGGATGGTGTATGCTCATGCCAAAACATGACTTACTAAATTTAATGTTTCTTAAGAGAATTTTCTTGATGGGTATAATGGGAAAATGAGAGAAATAATAACACATGCAAATCTGTTTTTATACAGAAAGCCAAAATTAAGGGTAAATAAGTGATCTTTGATATTTCCTAGTCTGTGGTGAGACAAAATGTAGAGGAAAAGCCTTCTTCAATGAGTGAAAGAAAGTTCTTGACATAGTCAGAGTGAAGGTGAACTCCATAACCAGTGTCCTAGGGTACCCTGCACAGCCACAATAGCCTATAGTGGTTGGGGTGTCTATTGGATCCCACTGACCATCACTTTGAAAAGAGATAACCTGTACCTGTCACTGGGCTTTTTGTTTGGTAGCCTATGATGTCTAGAAGGGGCATCATTTCCCCTTTATGGAAAGCACTAGTGGACTCAGTTAAGAAAAAAAAAAAGGAACACATGAAATTGGGATGAAATAGTAGGGGCAGATGGGGGGAGAATAAAAGGGAGGACATTGGGGATAGACTTGATCAAAACACATCACCCATGTGTTTAAAATTATCAAACAAATAAAAAATTATCCAAATTATATTTTTTCTGATCAAAATAGGAAGAAAACAAAAACAATTAGTGTCCTAAATGAAAATGAGGGCCTGGCTTCCTTCTTACCTTTCACTCACAGCTGCCCAGTTGTTGATTAGAAAGTCCTTCACAACGTACCGGCCAACTTCAGATTCTGCCACAGTTTCTATAATATTTGTTTCATTAAAGTGGGATGGAGACACAGTGATGGCATACTCCATAAGTCTACAAGAGTCCAGTCATAAAATGCAAACAAACTTTAAAGATCCCATGAAAAGTTAGTGTTCATGGAATTTTAAAAGCTCATAGTTCTAAATAAAGCACAATTACGTTTGTTTCTTCCCCCCCTCCTTTGAGATAAGGATTATGTTTCTCAAGCAGGAATGTTCAAGGTAAGTTGATTGTGTCACCTGTTAAGTATCCATGGATCTTTACTGCAGATCATCCCATGAATAAGATAGATGTCTTCATGTTCCTCTGTTTTATTGATGTAAAAATTTAACAAGAAGTCCCACTCCTCATAGCTTCCCAGAGCAATGGCATTGCATAAAACCACTCTTTCAATCTGTAAAGGTATTCTGAAAGGCATAACAGGAGAAGGCATTCCCCATAGTAATTCAGGAGCACAGTTATCCAACTAGTCAAAGTCAGAAGCATAAATCTAGTGAAATCATTTGATAGCTGAACTATAAAGATCAAAGGTAGAGAGCTAAAGAAGCTATGAGGGAGCTATCATTAGCCTTATGATAAGAGCCATCCATTTAGCAGAGCGGTTGAGTTTTCAAAGAAGCAAATTATAAATAGTGCAGCATACATCAATAAGGTAGTTTGGTCTGTGTCTCCTTATCACATTTCCTTAGAGTCCATCTGAGGTTGTAAATGAAAGGCAATAACATCCCAAACACCAAAGTCTCAGCTCTTAATGAGACTGCAAACTCAGATGCAGGGGAGGGGCTCCAATATGTTCGTAGAGATAAAACTAACAAGCAATTCTAAAGAGCTACCTACTAAGACATAAAACAAGTACAGACCCAGCCAATCTGTAAGCGTTTAGTGGGAGGACACATCCGCAGCCAAAGACCAAAGTCTCAACTCCTTACTGAATGAGTTCTAATCTGTTGTCCAGACACAGTGATGGCATACTCCATAAGTCTACAAGAGTCCAGTCATAAAATGCAAACAAACTTTAAAGATCCCATGATCTTTATTTAGATAATAATTTTTTTTCAGAAAGGATTATCTATTAGTGTATCTGAAAAGGAATTGAAGAGCTCAATCAAATAAAAGCAAAAATGATCACTCCCAACCATAAGAACACCCCCAGGGGAGAGAAACCAGAGGAGCTGACGTAGGAGCTGAGCAACTGATCTACACTGTAGCTCTTACCTGTTCTCTGGCTGAGCCATCCACTTTCTGAAGAGCTCTCTAGACAGCTGGAGACAGTCTTCGAGACCTAACCAACAGGCGCTTTCGTAAAGTTTTTCCAGTGATAGTCTGGAAGGAAAAGCCAAAGAGAAGATGTTAATTTGGAATTATCACCTTCGTTTTTCTGTTTCCAAGAATGCGTGTTTCACATAACGATGAGAATTTTAAAACTCCCTTTAGTAACATCAAGTTTCTTTTTAAAAATGGCTGTTATGATGACAAATATATTAAAGATTCAGAAAAAACATTTTCGGAGAGGTTGGGGGTACCAAAAGAGTTCATAACAAATAGCATTTTTTTTAATTAGAAATAAATTGTTACCATCATTCATCTTAAAGACACATGGGTGTACACACACTACACATCTCTTGTCAGTTTACTTTCACCCTCCTTCCCATTTATTCCTTTAAAGATTAAAAATATCTGTAGTGTATCTGATCTAATATGCTGAGAAAAAAAATGCTTTCTGTATACGAGAAAAGTTTCTTTCTCCCCTGTACAATTTGCTTTCCTTTGCTAAGCATCTGAGTTTTCCCTCTCCCCTCCTATCAATTGTGTCCAAAAAGGAACAGAAGTGTTTGCTTTATTTTTATAGCTAAGGTACATGAGTCTACATTACTGTTCAAAGCGAGTTCAAAGAAAGGTCCTGGACAACAATGAACCTAAGGAAGCCATGCTTGTTGTATGTCTTGCTATAGTTATTAAGTCTGCGGTCTGGGCAAAAGAAGCCATGCTGATCTTAGAAAATATGAGAGCCAATGGTCCCATGCTCTAGTGTCAACTCAGTGTGTTGCTGACTTGGTGACAAGTAGATTTGGGGTGTGCATGGGTGGTCCCCTAACAGATACGCTTAGAAATTTGTTTACGTGTTCACTTCCCCTCCCCACCCAACTCAGACTTGGGCTAGCTCCAACAAGATGGGATTCTGTGAAAATCAGCCTCTCTCAGAAGTTCCTGGAGGAGAGACACTGACGCAGGATGCTATAAAATGTCAGCGTCTTCAGTCTGAGTTAGGAGAGCCTGGAATGTGTCTGCTTAACACATGTGCTGCCTGGTTGAGCGTATTTGTGCCTTCCTGTCCTTTCACACAGTTTGTCCCTTCCCCCTGACATGCACACTGCCTATCTACTTACTATCCAGTTCTATACACTTGAAGTTGTAGACTATGGTACTAATCTCCACCCTCTCAGCAGGGTACTGCTGCATTGGAATGATCATATTTTTGCAGGTTTTTATTTCTTGTTTGGTCTAGTTGATTTAAGTTTGATGTTTCTGGAAGTTGTAGCTATAGATGTTTGGCTACTACCAGCCTCCAAATCTAGAATTCCAACATATGTACCCAAACAGAACAGAGGCACCACAGCCTCCTGTTTCCTTTTAACTCCTTCCTAAACTACTGTGAAAATGTACTTACTCCCCACAGGACCGTCATTTCCAGTAATCAAACATGATCATATATAAGTGACTGACAACTATTACCATCAACCTAGCTAATATCTGCATCATGTTATAATTCTTGCTAACAATAATATAGAGAAATGTTAGGTAACTAGTTAGAAACCAGCAGGCTGAAAGGACCAAGAGGGTGGGCCTCATCCCATAATCAGCTATAAGCCCTCATCCCCCATGCCCCTAATTTTGCAGTGATAGACGAAGGAAGGGGAAGCATCACAACTGCTTCTCTGTAAGATCTAAGATATCATATAAATAGGAGAAAGGTGGAGGTAGCAGGGCTTTATTGAGGCCCACTTATTTAAAAAGATTGTTTCTTTCTGGTAAAACGTGTATTTTCAGAGATTTTTAAAATCTTCTCTTTGACTTTATGAATGGCTAGAAAAATTCCTATCTAGTAGAAAGCTTTCTGGTAAAGAGCAAAACACAGCATTTGCTCCTCCCTTGAGTGTTAATCCAAACATGCTGGTTGTAAGGAAATGGTCTCTCAGATCAGGTGTCTATCTGCTCTACACACTTTGGAAAACAGTATACAAGATACTCTAATTGTAGCTTTGCTACAATGGTCTCTGGACATTGTCTATTTTCATCCCTTAAGGTTGCTCCAATTTACTCTGCAAGAAACTGTCTTCTACACCAAGTCCTGTGTGTCCTGTCTGGATTGTTTCAAAGGAAAATACAAGACTGGGGAGCTGAGAGGCAAAATTTTGCCAGAGCAAAATGCCAATGGCAAGCCTACTTTTCTCCCGAAAGCTTTCTAGCAGCCTTTGTTTTACTGGTGTAGAATAGATGTTCTAACCACAACCCTCCACTTAAGGGTACATTTAAAATTTCAGTCAGAAAAAAAAGAAGGTATATAGCAAATTGAAGAAAATGAATCTTTCTTGAAAATTGTTATGCACCTGATTTATGCTTTGTCTTAATTGACTATGTTTGAAGGGGGAATGTTACTTAAAATGCATTTTCTCAGTTTTAAATAGAATAGTGTTCATGTGAATATTTGTGGAAGAGGTCATGATTGTTTTTAAAAAGAATGGACACCTCTGGAGATACCTGATAAAACAGGGTCAGATGAAAGGGGAGGAGGTCCTCCCCTATCAGTGGACTTAGAAAGAGGCAGGGAGGAGATGAGGGAGGGAGGGTGGGATTGGGAGGGAATAAGGGAGCAGGATACACCTGGGATACAGAGTTAATAAAACGTAACTAATAATAAAAAAATAAAATTAAATTAAAAAAAAAAGAAAACACCAAAATTTGAAAAAAAAATAAAAAAGAATGGACACACAAAATTTCCACATTTTCAGTCACACATTTTCAGGAGCAAATTATACAGCTTTTCATTTCAGGCAGATGGACATGAGCACACCAACAAAAATTTCCCGTAGTGCTTTAGTCCAAGTTGCTTGAGAATGTGTGACTTACTCATTAATTTATGCATTAAATCATTTGGATATTTATTACATATCAGACATTCTGTTAAGTATTAGCTATAAAAATCATAAATACAATAAAATAAAAACCTTTTGAAAATATAGAGCTTAAACTTCTACGTGCACACACACGTGTAGAGCTCAGTTAATATCGCAAGCTATTGCTTCCTCTAAAGTCACGCAGAGTTCACCAGGTCTGGATCTTGTATTCTCAAATGGCACACAAACTCTGTTGGTAATAAATACTAAGGCTTAATAAATACTAACCCCATCTACTAAGGTAAGTCATTCTATTCAATTATGACCACTTAAAAATACTTACAGAGCTAAATAATTGTCTTGTAATGCGGCCACATTTTCTCTAATTATAGCTGAGTAAGTATTCCATATTGAGTTAAGTCTCTTTAGTAAATACTTCTATAAAACACAAAGAAAAGTTACCGTTATTCCTGGCACACAACACTAAACTCCCATTTATTTATCTGAAAGGTATTAATAAAGAAACAAAAGACTTTTTTCAGAAACGATCTTTGTTATTAAATATACTTCTTTAGGTTTATTTAATTTTTTTAATTTTTAAACCTCTCCAGGTTTAGTTGCGTCACACATAAAACCACATAAAGCAGTTTGTAAATATACCAGTCAAGTGTGATTGTGAGTTAATCTGCCTGGTACAATTAATACTGCCTGATATAGAGAGAGAACCTAGTAAACATTAACAATTAATGTCAGCCGAAATGTACCAGCTGGTAAATATGAAGCTACAAGAGTCAGGCATCCATTAACATTACTGAGAACCAACTAGATGCAGAGAACTGTCAGTTGGTATCAACTTGGCCAAAAACCACTCATCAAAGGCCAGCAACTCTCCTGTAAGTCGGCCTCCCTACACTCACTTAAGTTCCCAGCATACTTTGGATACTAGAAAAAGAACAGCTGGACCTAAGCTGTTTACAACAACACCCTCAGAATGACCCACCCTCATTTGCCATCATCACTCTCTGTGTTACTTGTGGACCTTGACTTCCAAAAGGCTGCTTCTGAACATCTACTCTCATCTTACTCTTGACATCTTTCTTCCAAATCCTATTGAAGATCTACTGATGGGAATTTTCCCTTTTACATCCCCTCATTGACAATGGCATGTCATTATTTCATTCATAAATGTTTATTTCCATCTTTATCTTCTTAACAGCATCAACAGCTTTGAAACTCTTTTTTTTTTTCCTAGAACATATTTCTCAGGTTGAAATTGCTGATCCTATAAACATGATTATTAGGGTTATTAACACAGAGTTAGGAAGAAACTCTTTGCTTACAAATCTCTTTGAGAAATTGTTCCTATTATATACTATTTTTCTATAAGAAGAAGATATATAATTTCAGCCACTTCTGGTTTTCTTTCTTTCTTTTTTTTTTTTAAATACATTTTTAAAGATTTGTTTATTTAGTGTATGAGTTCTCTACGTGCATGTACACCTGCAAGCCAGAAGAGTGTATCAGATCCAATTACAGTTGTGAGCCACCATGTGGTTGCTGGGAATTGAACTCAGGACCTCTGGAAGAACAGACAGTGCTCTTAACTGTTGAGCCATTCCTCCAGCCTTCTTTCTTTTTCTTTCTTTCTTTCTTTCTTTCTTTCTTTCTTTCTTTCTTTCTTTCTTT